ATGTACTAAATCCAAACTTTCTCTCTGTACAGATGTCCAAAAAAATGTCGAGTCGATTTTGCTCATTTCGTTCGTAAAAATTACCGATCCCTCGAAATTGGACAATATCGTTTTCTGCTTTACTTCAGATTACCGACAGATTTTTTACACCCATTTAAATCCGAAAAAGTGCGATTATATTATATAATACGCAAATTGGGCAAATTGAACGATTAACTGGCAGCGTAGCTCGAGAATAAAGTATCGAGCGTTATGGAGGCGCGTCAGGAAATTTTCGCGGAGGGTTGCGCCGGTAGGGCTTGAGCGATTATCGATACACCGATTCGCGCCGCTAATGGCACGAGGTCGAAGTTACAAACAAATTTCGTCATTCGCGGCGTCTGCTTTAAGGGAGCCGCTTTCGCGGGAGAGTATCTCGCACGCCCTATTACCGGTATCGAGCGGGGTACCCCGGAATCTCTCTCTCTCTCTCGCTTTCTCCCGCGTGTGAACCCGCCTGTCTTTCACTTAATCGCGAAAAATTGACACCAAATTACTACCGCCGGTGATGGATGATCGAAAGCATCCAGGACTCGCGGTTTGATCTCCCTCTCTTTCTCCCTCTCCTCTCTCTTTCTTCCTCCAGCCCTCTTTTTCTCCCCGTCGCCAACCCCTGGCGAGTTTCTTAATCTCGGATCGAGAATGGGAGTTTCAATGGTTTCGGCGAAGTGAGCGAACGGACGGTCCTTCGGTTCGATGGTTGCCACTGTAAGATAAGACGGCAGGTCAGAGAGGAGAGAGGACGCAGAGCCCGTGGGTTTAGGCCTTTTAATGGAGGGGAACCGCTCTTATAAATCGATACGCCTCTTAATATCCAGCGTCTCCTCAGTCGTACTCAATCGTCCGTCACGGGCGAGGTGGCTGTCGATGCGATCGATCATTTTTTATGAGACACCAGAGACACGGTCTACCGTCTCGCGACGACAAATTCACCACCGCCGCCTCCAGTCCTCTCGTTCTCCGTTTCCTTCCCCTCCTTCTCTTCCTCTCTCTCTCTCTCTCTCTCTCTTCCCCTCTCTTTCTTCCATGCCCTAGATAACTTTTGACCTGGCCGGAACCCGATGCTCTCGTCCACGTTTAATATCTCGTAGTTGACCAATGTTATCGAGGCGTTTAATCCGATACGAGGTCGCGTTTCGCTTTAGCTAAACAGTGAGCGAATAGGGAGAATGAAAGAGAGGAGGGAGAGAGAGAGAGAGGTCGGGAGAGTTCCATGTAAGTGCATAAAAAATATCAAGTCAACTATAAAAATATGAAAATTAAAAAGCATTGAGCCCGGAGAGCTCGTCGGGCGTATAATTAAAAAGTATAATTTTCCAGCACGAGCGCGCACGAGAGGACGGGGAGGGAGGGGGGAGAAAAGCGAAGGTAGAACGAGAGGGGAATTCAAGTAGCCATTCACTCGATCGATTTAATTTAGTCCGCAAAGTACTCGCTCTCGCGTCAAAGAGATAGGGGTTAACGCAAACTTGCGTTTGAACCACGAGATCGCGAGAGTTCGTTCGATCGCGGCTCACGTACACCGAGTAATTTGTCCCAATTAAAGCAAGCCGCAGGGGAGTTCGATGGCTCTCGGCGCATCTGTGCCTCGCGGAATAGAAGAACTTGGCATGCTGAGCGCGGAAACGAGGGAAAATTCTCCTTCCTTGGCACCCTGCGCATCGGCAATCCGAGCTATGAGCGGGAATGCGCGCAATGCCCGGCGCTATTACGCGCTGCGCGTCGAATTGCGC